GAGGTCATATCTCGCAATTCTGAGTTCATTTCTCGTAATTCTGAGGTCCACGGTTTGTGTGTGTTCACTGCTGTGTGTGTGCACTTTGGATGGGTAAATGCAGAGCACTAATTCCGAGTATGGGTCACCATACTTGGCCACATGTCACGTCACGTCACGTCACGTCACTCATTATTATTATTATTAATTCCGAGGTTATATCTCGTAATTCTGAGGTTATAACTCGTAAAAAACTAAAAAGTGTGCAAGTCTTTGGATCCCCTGGTTTAATCTCTAAGCCCTGTTTTTCTTATATTAAATTTTTGGACGTACCTCCCCTCTCCGTCCCTGCAGTTGGGGCAGGAACAGGCCACCCTGCGCAGCCTCTTGCTGGGCTGACCCTCCTGGTCCGACGGGCTCTGGACCTGCCCCATCTGGTCTGGACTCAGGGTTGTGCTGCTGATGTTGCCAACGGTGACCGTCACCGGGGTCGACTGAACTTTGACCCCCTCTTGACCCTGCTGCTGACCTGTGGGAATTTACAAACAGCACAGTTGATTAAATCACTCTGAGAACTGTTCAAACGTCAATGGATTTTGGGAAGTTTTGGGAAATATCATTTAGACCTCAAAAAGCAAGCGTCCTAAATGTTTTAAACCAAACAAATGTTTGTGAGTCCCTGTGGTTCTAAATCTATTAAAACAGCCCTCTTTTTACATAAGAGTACAGCTAGTCAACGGTGGATCTAGACTTACAAAGGCCAAAAACAAAGAGTCTGAAATCTGACAGCTTACGAAGCATTTGGAAACAACATCCAGACTCCGACTCGTAAAATATAAATGCCTTAATTTTTCAATTTAATTCATGAGTAATAAAGAGTCTTTGGAAACACACACAACTACATTTTATACTACTATAAATGTTCCACATTTTGTATATATGTGGTTAAAAATATTGTGATAATTATTGTAACACCTAATAATTATTCCAGATTAAATTCCTCCTCAAAAACAAAGTGAAAAAAATTTAATTATAATTTTCCAGTTTAAATGAGGCCTAATTTTAGAAAAGCATTATTTTCCTGGCAAAATTGATTATTGTAATAAATAAATACATAAACAAACAAACAAATAATTAAATAAGTTTTATTTTAGTATCATTGAGACACTATTACAGTTTTTATTAATATTTTGCATTACTTTTTATTTTTATATTTTCCTTTTTCATTTGAGCTAGTTTTAGTAATTTTGTTTGTTTTTGTCATTTTTATTAATATGTCTATATAATTTGCATTATTTTTCCCCCCGCTATTTTAGTTGTTAAACAAAATGAAAATAAGAAATGTTACTCAAATAAATGTTTTTTATAATTTATTTTTATTTATAACTAAATATTTCTAAATAAATAAATATATAAAAAAAATGTTATACATAAAAACAAATAAATTGCATACCAGTGTTAGTATCAGTGAGATACTATCATAGTTTTTATTAATATTTTGAATTATTTTTTATTTTTTATACTTTTATACTTGCTGTTTTCATTTCAGTTTTAGTTAGTTTTTGTAATTTTGCTTGTGTGTTTCTTATTATTTCTATTATTTCTATTTTAAATATGCCTATTTAGATTGATTAGTTTTTGTAATTTTGCTTGTGTGTTTCTTATTATTTCTATTATTTCTATTTTAAATATGCCTATTTAGATTGATTAGTTTTTGTAATTTTGCTTATGTGTTTTTAATTATTTGTATTATTATTTTTTTTATATATATATATATATATTCTTAATATGCCAGTTTCAGTTTTAGTTATTTTAGTACATGAAGTTAAACTAAAAGAAACTGAGAAATGTTGCCTTGGCAACTAGCTGAAATAATATAATATATAAATATAAATATATATTTTAGTTAAAGTTCATTTTATTTCAAGTAACAACGTTTTTTTTAAAAAGGTTTTAGTTTTAGTTAACTATAATAACCCCGCATGATACTCACTACTATAATATAAAAAAGATTAAAATATTTAATTGATAATTAATGATTAAATATATATTTTTTTATTTACCATTTAATTAATTACATTTTAAATTGTATTGCATGTATAGAATTTTCTGTACTGCTTTTTCTTATTTACACAGATGTAAATAAAAGGATCACTGTATTACCGAAAGGTTTAATGAAATTATTTCATGAATGAAAATATCTAAAGAGAATCACCAGAGACTAACGCTAATTACACAAAAATGCAACTTCCAAACTTGTCCAAACATGTGCTTAATTGTCATGAAAATAAAGTCACAATGCAAAAAAAGTTCATAGTTTTAAACACAGGCTTCATTTGCAGGCACAAAATGATTTTGGGGTGAACACGAACATGATTATTTATATACGAGACTCACCAACTCAGTCCAAACGTTTAAATGAATTCAACTGAGTACTGTGCATTAATTCCAATTATTTCATGGTCTGTCTGAATACTGGATTCTGATTGGCTGTCAGGTATGCAGTAAAACCGTTTAATGCACAGGTAGTTCCAAGTCAGTGTAATCGCCGTTCTATATTAATGCGCTGCTTTAATTGATGCACACTAACCAACTTATTAAAAATTATTTATGAAGATAACTGGCCTTCTTCACTAGGTGTCACATGACTGGTGGGAGGGGCTTACCATGCACGCCGGTGATGGTGAGCGGGACGCCCTGCACCTGGACTCCAGCCGCCCCCAAACCTGCGATGTTCACCGTCTGCACCCCGGTCCCAGAGGGCAGCTGGGCTGCGCTGAGCGTGATGGGCGACCCGCCGAGTGTCAGCGGGGCGATCTGAGTGAACGTCCCCCCGCTTGCGTTCGACGCCATGGGGGCGAGCGTCAGCTGCTGGGGCATGCCCGCATTCTGGACCTGGACGGTCTGCCAGCTGATCTGTCCCGACGGGGTGAGTGTGGGCGTCCGGATCAGAACCTGCGTGGGATTCTGGAAGGCCTGCAGCTGGAGGTTCTGCTGCATCGGTTGTAAAGTCTGGCCGGGCTGGATCTGTATGGAGCCCTGGACTACCTGCTGGTGGGGCGACTGGATCTGGATCTGCTGGAGAACCGGATGGCCCACGATTTGGAATTGCTGGATTTGGCCGGCCTGCTCGGACACGGATTGCAGGCCGTTGGATTGAGCCAGATTCTGGGCGTCCGACTCGCCCGACTGACCGTCCTTCTGGCTCTCAGTTCCGGCGGGCGCTGTAGCATCCGTAGACGTCGCGACGATCGTATCGCTGGTCGTCGTGAACGTCGAAACGCCTGTGGATTCTGCTGTGCTTGCTTGGTTTCCGTTGGAAATGCTTCCGTCGCCCGATTGGACGAATTGAATCGAAGCTCCGCCCCCAGCTATGTTATTGATAACCGGCAGCGCCAAAGTCACGCCGCCGAGGTTAATGGGTAACGTGGTCACCATAGGCGCTTGCGTACCCTGAATGGTTTGCAGCTGCAAAGGAAACGACGGCCTGATCTGAAGCGGAATTGTCTGGTTTTGCGCGACGATTCCGGTTGATCCCGCCCTTTGGGGCGTGGCCAGAATGGCTTGGTTGTTTCCGGTGGAAATGAGCTGGATCTGTTCGGGCTGGACGCTTAAGGTTGCAGGGTTACTAGGGCTTATTTGGATCTGCTGTCCGTCGGCGGTCTGAAGGTGCGGGATGACTTGATACTGGATCCCGCCTGACGAGTTCGGCAGATTCTGCACCTGGATGATTTGAAACTGCTGCTGCTGCTGTGAGCCAGGTGCGTTATTCGAACCCACCGCCTTGCCCTTTCGCCCCGGTGCGCCCTCATTGGCCGCCAGCCCCACCTGCTGCTGAATGCTGTCCTTGGTTGCAGCGGCAGGGGACGTGGCTATGATCTGCCAGCCGTTTCCCGTCAGCTGCGCAGGAACCAGCTCGAGCTGCTGTGTGGGGTTCTGGAGCTGAAACAGACCCTGGTTGGGGTCGATTATTATCTGCTGTTGCGTGGATGCCTGACCCTCGCCGCCAACACCGCCTATTTTACTGCATGTTGCTGCAAGCATTGCGAGAGGAGACGGCTGTGCATCCTACACACACACACACACACACACACACACACACACACACACACAAAGTGAGATGTCAGTGTCAGCAGATGTGGGCGGGTTCACAGGAAGAGAAAGTGGGCGTGTGAACCACAGTCTCTCCATTTCACAATCGAGGCCTCCAGAGACAAACTCACTCAAAAAAACTAATTTGAAGGCTTTTCTGTTAAAACTAATCCATAAATACTAAACATTTCAAGTATAGTGGGTTGCAAAAGTCTAAAATCACTACTGAAAATTATTCTAAAATGTTTTCCATGACAAATAACATTTAATATTTGCAAATATAGATATTTACATTTTATTATTTGTTTTATAAATATTTATTTATTTCATTCTTATTTATACTATATAAATATAATATTATTTATATTACTTATATTTATTTATTCTAATATTTATTTTTTATTTAATCTAAATTATACTAATATATATATAAAAAATTTTTTTTTTGTTTTTTTACAAATTAAATATATTTGAGTGAAAATAAAGAATTTGAAAATATATTTTGCTCATATTATTATTATTTTAGTAGCAGCAGCACTGGGGCTGACGTGAATTTTTTTTTTTACATCCTCTTTGTAAATAAAAAAAAAATTATTTATGCATATTATATTATAATAAATATACCTGAGTGAACATATACAAGAATTTGCAAATATCTTCTATTTTATTTTTATTAATTTTTTGCTTTAATGACAACAGCACTGGAGCTGACATGAACAAAACATGATTGTTATCTTTGTTGTCACGAAAATTATATTTATTATTCATATTTATGTGAAAAAATTTACAAGAATTTGATTTTTTAAATCTTATTTTATTGCACTTGTTTATTCTTTGCAAAACTGGAGCCGACATGAACAAATAATCTCTCTTTGTCGTCACAAAAATGATATTTCTTATTTATATTTATGCATATGTTATTATATTATTTATATTTACAAATAAAAAAACATTTGAGTGAAACATGCACAAGACTGCATTTTTCTTATTTATTTGCTTTTGCTTTAATGGAGCTGACACAAACAAAACATGATTATCTCGCACAAATGTGCTCACATTTAATTGGTGACCAGGAAACGGAGCGGGTATATTTATTATTCATATTTATATTTACAAATTAAATCTTATTTTATTGATTAATTATTTATTTTATTGCACTTGTTTATTTTTTGCAAAACTGGAGCCGACATGAACAAATAATCTCTCTTTGTCGTCACAAAAATGATATTTCTTATTTATATTTATGCATATGTTATTATATTATTTATATTTACAAATAAAAAAACATTTGAGTGAAACATGCACAAGAATGCATTTTTCTTATTTATTTGCTTTTGCTTTAATGGAGCTGACACAAACAAAACATGATTATCTCGCACTGTTGTCACAAATGTGCTCACATTTAATTGGTGACCAGGAAACGGAGCGGATCCTTAAACGTGTATCTTTTATTCGATGCCATTATCTTTCTTTGCCTTTATTTCCAGGTTAAAACTAGATTTCAAACACGAGAATGCAGTTTTAGACTTTGGGACACCACTGCATGCTTGTGCAAAATCCTTCTAAGGAAACATTTGTCCCAGTTCTGAAATGCTAAAGATTAAAAGCGTTACCTAACACCGTTCACAAATGCTTTATCGAAGTATTGCGAAGCATAACAGGTTAAGACAGGAACAGTGTGAGTGTGTGTAACCCTGCAATAATCAGGAAGTGCTTTTGGGCACTTAACAACTTGACATTTGTGATACCTGCAATCCAGAACTTTTCCCTTTCGTCCCAACTTCATCTCCGCAGGCTTTCCCCCCATCTGTGGCCATGGCTTGCTTCTTTTGATCTGAAAAAAAAAACCAAAGCAAGAGTTGGGAGTTAAAAATCAAATGCAATGCAAAGCATGATATAATGCAAACCCCTCCTAGACCTCCAAACACATCAAAGCAAGCTCTCCAGCCCCTTACAGGCATTGCACAACACCCCAAACTCATCAATGGGCACAGATAAACAGCAGATCCCGCATGCAACTCGGGGGACAGGGATGGAGAGATGGCACAGATGGAGAATGAAGGGGTGGAGACGCATAAGGAGGGGAGGGTACGTACCACTCATCCCGCATTAATGAAACCCGGAGAGGAGTTGTTTAAGAGCAAAAAAAGGCCGGACGCCGAGGAAGGCAGGCAGCAGCCCAGCAGAAGGACGGCCTATTTTCTCCAGCGGCCGCAGAGTGTGGCGCAGCTCTGACGCACGGACCCACCCCGTCAGGAAGGGCGGTGCCAATGCAAAAACACCCTCGATAACGGAGCACTAAATACCAGGCGAGTCCGAGCGGGTCGGGTCGAACGGACGCGGGCCTTACAGCGCTGTTAAATAATAACCCTGCGCGGATCTGTCAGAGAGCTCCGTCTGCGCGCGGAGGCCCACCCACTGCACTTTAAACATCTATGAATGCCGAACCATCACGCGCGGGCTATTCCGCTCCGCTTTTTTCCTCTCCCGGATGTATCTGTGCGAGAATATTCGTCGGAATTCACTCCGGGATTCACTTTTTTGATGCACAATTGCGTTTGAGGCACACTCTAAAATTGCTGTGGCTTTTGTGGGCGGACGCTCCCCTCCCACATATTCAGATTGGATGGGCGTGGTGCCGTTTGGGGCTTGTAGTTTCGAAGCGCGCGGCGTGCGTTGGGATTCAACACGCCGCGGACTACAAGTCCCGTGATGACGCGTAAGGGGGTGTTATCGGGCTCGGTTGTTCGGACTGAAGAAGGGAGGGCTTTTGTGGTAAGTGGGGGTTGGGCGAATGCAAACGGGTGGAGAAACACGAACCACCGGCCCAGTTCGGCGAAACACACGCCCTGAAGCTCTATCACGACTGCTAAATTAAATAAATAAATTAAATAAATAAATTTTTTTTTTTTTGCAATGGCGACACCTGAAAGTGTTCGTACGCTTGTGTGCGTGGCATTGCATTGCATAACCATGTGGCGTTTATTTTAAACAAATACAGCACAAAAGATGAACTACTGATGAACACATTCATTTTTATCTGAATTATCACCACTCTGTAGGTTATTTAGCCGTGCATTCTCTGTCTTTGTGAGGCTTTTGTCTTTCAAACGCATCAAAATGCACAGATTCATTTGTATTTTTTTGTCATCTGATAGTATATGTTTACTTGAAGCACACCTGGGATTTAAAAATAAATATTTTAATAATTAGTTATCACATTTGCATGTTATTTGGTTCCCTGGCGTTGGTTATGATCACGTGACATGCAGGCAAACAAAAAAATATTTCATTTTGAACATTTTTATGATTTAATGACTGATTAGCTTTTCACTAAACCCCTTTCAAACCTTGACAGAACAGCATGTGTAATGCACTTCATGTTGTTAATAACAATGAATGGAACATATTTTCTTAACTCTTTGCATTTTTATGTCAATATGGCACAGGATCAATGCGATAAACGAGGTAGCAAAAGTAATCTAAAAGTAGTCTGATTATATTTCCTAAAATGTGTAATGTAACGGATTACGTTACTTGTTGTCATGTAATTTGGAATCAGAAACGGATCAGCTCTACCCAGCTCCACTGACTTCATACATTCACTAAAAACAAAGCCATTGCTCTTTGGTTCCTGTTCTAGCTTTCTAATAAATACGGCATTGTGTATTATTAACTGTGAACTGCATGTTCCTCATTTGTAATTATAGCTTTGGATAAAAGCATCACAGCCTATGTGTGAGTTAATGAAAAGATAGTTATGCAGCATTTGAGCTGACACTTGATATTTAGTTAATTGTATAAAGTTTTCATATACTGTGCAAGTAAGATGCACAGTCTTTATGGCCAGCAATTATCTTCTAGCATACAGCATACATTTAAGTACCGAGTAATATTAATTAACTGTATGTACTTGCATTAGGGTTAAAGTTTGGCTTAGGGTTACTTGCATGTATTAATTAGGCATCAGTTATTAAAATAGTAAGTACATGTAACATTTTTGTAATTTTTATTCCAAAGCATATCAGAAAAGATGCACAGTCTTTATGGCCAGCAATTATCTTCTAGCATACAGCTTGAACATTAGATCTTCTGTTTATTCGGTTAATATATTTAATATTATTTGTATTGTTATTTATATTTTCAAAACAATTTCTTGTGAAATTGAAAATATAGCCTATATGTTTTTGCTGATATTATTATTATTGTTGTTGTTGTTTTAATGACAGCGGCACTGAGCATAATTATAACATTATCTTTGTAAAATTATATTTCTTATTTAGATTTAAGTGAATTTGAGAAACTCCGTTTTAATCTGTATTTAAATATATTTAATATTATTATATATTAATATATATATATATATATATATAATATAATTATATATTTTTATTTACTATAATTTTTATAGTAAATAAATAAAAACTATAGGCCTATATGTATATTTTAAATTTAAATGTAAATGTATTTGTTTTAATTCATACATTTTTTTAAGTGAAAAGTGTGCAAGAATTGAATAATGTCTTTTACTTATATTATTAGTATTATCTTCTTCTTTTTTTTATCATTTTCTGACAAAATTTCTGAACAGAACATAACTATCCCACTCTCTTTTTCCATAAGCCCTAATTTGCTTGCATTTATTTCCAGGTTTAAACTACAATAAAAAAATTAAAAAAATCAATTTGAATGAAATGTTTGTTCCAATTCTGAAAAGATCAAAAGCGTTACCTAACACAGTTCACAAATGTTTAGGTCTTGTTTTAGATCATCTTCTGTTCACTCTGTTAATATGTTTAATTACGTATTGAACACTGGTGTCTTTTATCATATCTCTGTACTTTGCATAACAGCATGCATTAACCATGACAGAACATCTGTAAGACATCTTCTTGTTGCTTATTGTTTTATTTGAGTTCATTTGTCATCTGTCATTAATAACTGTGTTTGTTAAACTGCATCTACAGCTGAGTTTAAGTATGTCAGACCTAATGTCCAGAACAGGCCCGAGTCTGTCCCACAGCACTGACTAAACCTTCATTTCTGAGTTTGTGTGGTTCACACTCACACTGACAATCTGCATTCAAACTCTGTGCTGATGTGGTTTCTTCTTCTTCTTCTTCTGCAGCTGATGTTCTGAGTGTAAGTGTTGGTCACTGGTGCCCTCTGCTGGCCGGGGGATGTTACCCTCTGGACAAGGTCAAGTGTTTAAAGTTTTTATTTTTTTAGCAAAATATCAATTTCAATTGAAATACAACACTATGCATACAACCTAAAAATCTACAATCATTTGCTTTATACTATATTTGTACTCGCTCACTTGCATTAGGAGTATTATGTAATTGTTTGTGTTTGTAAAGGAAGAACCTGTTTTCTTAACAGTTAATGTTCTTAATGTCAGTCTCATGAGAAGCTAAAGCACTTTTCGTGTCTGTTAAATGACTAAATTAATGACAACATAAAATAAAAAACAGCCCACATAAAAGTTATTTTAAAAGAAATTATTCCAAAGTTCTAATCTAAATGCAGTCAGGATAAAATAGCCTAATGTCCTTATATTTTTCTTCTTACATATGACTTAAAGGGGTCATCTGATGCCCATTTTCCACAAGTTGATATGATTCTTTAGGGTCTTGATGAAAAGTCTGTAATATACTTTAATTTAATAGTCCAGTAGTGTCCAGTAGGGGGCAGTAAATGAACTAAACATTGGGCCAGCAAACTGTTCGAACCAACTTTGAGTTCTTCAGTCTCTTTAAGCAGAAAACAGCGCCAGGTGTTCCTGAATGAAGTGTTGATCTGTGACTGCATGCACATGTATTTCAGTTCAACAACAGTCTGCTGGAGACACCTACAGTTTAATTACAGACTGACAGCCAGAGTCTCTCAGGATGAAGCTGTGCACATACAAACACACACTATATGATAATATAGTACTATCATATATTTATCACATATTTATTCCCCAATGGTTTCATTATATATAATATATTTAATATTATAATATTTAATATATGTATATCATTTATGAATTTCATAGCTTATGAATTCTGCTTCATTTCAAGTGTATCTCAGATGTAAACAAAATTTTTTTTTTGTGTGTGTCCGGATGTGTGTGAGTGAGTGAGTGTGTGTGTGTGTGTAAGAGTGTGTGTGTCTGTGTGTGAGTGAGTGTGTGTGTGTGTGTGTGAGAGAGTGTGTGTGTGTGTGTGTGTGACAGGCGTCTCACTGTCTCTGTGTCCCGCGGCTGAAGGTAAGACACATTTACTGCCTCTCTAGTGAATGAGATTTTTGGCACGCCGCACTCTTGATCCTAAAGTGAGCATTTACTCACTCAGGAAGGTGTTGACAGGCCAAAACAAGCACCTTTTTAACCCTTAATGTGCTGGAAAGAGCAGCTGATCTTGTCAACCGGTGCATGAATGGATTCTGTAGGAGTTTGCTGTAGTTTCACTGGTTTTATGGAGGTGTTTTAAATGGCGTCTGTCCTGTTTTCAACACACCGTAGCAGTAAATGTTGATGTAAGACGCCTGTAATGTTCCTCAGGGCTCCAGAAAGCTCATATCTGACATGAAGAACTGAAAAGACAGATGGAGAGAATACAGGTGTTAAAAGACGAGTCTCCTGGACGTGAACCACAGGAATCAGCATCTTGATTTATTAGGATCAGCAGCGTATACAGTCATGAAGAGCGTGTGTGTGTGTGTGTGAGTGAGTGAGTGAGTGAGTGTGTGTGTGTGTGTGTGTGTGTTTCAGTGTTTTGAGAATCACCATTGAGAAAAAAGGTCTAATAACATTTTGCCATAAAAATAGTCACAATACAAAAAAAAAAGTTTTTCATTAAAATAAATGCATAAATACATAAAAACAAATAAAGTTTGTTTAAAGTATGTATGTATATTGGTAGTATTTGTTGTTTCATTTTAGCAATTATAAAATAATTATAAAAAATTAATGTAATAAACATAATGAAAAAGTAATTATATATATATATATATATAACAACAACATTTAAAAAAATATTTTTAGCAAATTAATAATTATTTTATAAATACTACAAAATATTTATATGATTTTACCACTTTTAAGGGTATTATCAATGTTTTGAATGTGACTCATCAATCAGTTGCACTGAAAATGATTCCTTGCCCTTATGGCAAGTTATTTATTTTTCATTGGCCCAAATTAAAAAATATAGTTGTGAATCATTACCCTAAATGTTTTTAATTGGATGAATGAAAAAAACTATTCCTTTTCATTTTCATACACATAAAGACATATGAATGTTGTTTTCTGATATCTGATCTACAGCTGCAAAATAAACTCTCAAACACGGCCTCTTCCACTTCAGCTGCGTCTTCCCGCACAGAAACAAAGCTGACTAACTGAAGCCGGTTTCAATCTGATCAGCAAAATGAGTTCAAAATCACACCCCTGTGAGGGTGAAAGAGCACTCGCTCGGGGAAACACGCCTCAATCTTCTTCCATTACTCCCGCCAGCAGGCCAATCTGAGCACACAACTTACGCCACGGCGAGCTCATCAGCGCAGGTATTTTAAGATCAAACAACAGACCTCTGTAAGGCAGTCCAACAAGGAGGTAAAAGCTTTCCACACCCATTAGCGCAGCTTTACCCCGGGACTCCTTTTAGCCCCAGGTGAAGACATGATTGGTCAATTGCTCTGGGA